GATACACTTCATTTAACTTATTAAATTCATTAGATTTCGTGGTCCGATTGACCAAATAACATCTTTCAATTAATTAATCTTTATGTAAGGTATTGGTTGAGATTTAAAAAAAATGGCAAAAAGGAGGAAAATTAGTATTTCAAGGTTATTATATATCAGACGATTTTTTTTAAACCTAGGATGAGAAAATAATAAGCAGAACTGTATTAAATGAGACTAGACATAGAAAATAAGTTACAAAACAAAAATACCTTTCTCATAAACTTGTCCAGAAACCTTGCACAAAAAAAGTTGGAAAAAACCTTTAAAACCCTTAAATACGAATTTTTATAGCAAAAAGTACATTTTTAATTAATTAATCTTTATGTAAGGTATTGGGTGAGATTTAAAAAAAATGGCAAAAAGGAGGAAAATCAGTATTTCAAGGTTATTATATATCAGACGATTTTTTTAAACCTAGGATGAGAAAATAATAAGCAGAACTGTATTAAATGAGACTAGACATAGAAAATAAGTTACAAAACGAAAAGACCTTTCTCATAAACTTGTCCAAAAACGTTTTGTTGCAAAAAAAAAACTTTTAAAACCCTTAAATACGAATTTTTATAGCAAACAAAAACAAATACATTTTTAATTATTTAATCTTTATGTAAGGTATTGGTTGAGATAAAAAAGTCAGTGTCACGAGCGGGATTCGAACCCACGACCTTCGGCTAGATACGCCGCTGCTCTACCACTTGAGCTGTCGTGACCTCGATCCACTCGGACACTAACTTCCCATCTCAACCCCACCTTTTGAATTTTCCCTCCTTTTTGCCATTTTTCAAATGACGTGTAATCTATTTGATTCTCGGCGACAAATGAAATGGCCACGGATAGCTTTAGTGAAGATATACTTCATTTAAAAATATTAAATTCACTGATTCTCGTGGTCCGCTTGATCAATTAATATCTTTCAATCGATTAATTGAGGCCACGATATCTCAAGTGGTAGAGTACCGGCGTATCTAGCCGAAGGTCGTGGGTTCGAATCCCGCTCGTGACACTGACTTTTTTATCTCAACTAAAATCCTTAATTAATAGAAAGATATTAATTGGTCAAGTGGACCACTAAAATTAGTAAATTTAGTGAGTTTTATGTTTTCTCTTATTGAAAAAGAAAGGAGGAGAAAAACAGAAAAGGAAGAAAACAGTACTGAACTCCTGGATGAAATCATCCTCTGTAATTTCGCGTAATAGCCCTCGGGATGAGTTTCAGCTTTTTGCCCCTTCAGGTACCACACCGTGAAAATGAAAGAGCCAAAAAAATATTAAATTACAGGAGATAAACGGTAGACAGTACAAACGATTTTTTTTTCTCTCCCAAGGAAAGGAGATAAAAATCGTATAGGGCGACATGATTTATCCCCGTGATATCAAATGTCTCAACAGAGTGACATCCCCGTTGCATCACGACATTACATAATTTTCTTCATTGTGTATATTTTAGTTGTGTGGAAACATGTCGGCCTGAAATGGCTCCTTGTTGAGTAAAAAAATTAATCTTTAAATCTCGTGACTGGATTATCAAGTTCCCGAAGCACGTAAACCAACTGAACTAATTATTCGTCCTTTAATTATTAGTAATTAACCAAGATACAGTTCCAGTGACAAAAGTGTTTTCTTATTCTACAGGCCTTCGCTGGTCGTCTACTGTTAATGAATATTCAAATTGTGTACCATGATCTCGTAGACCACCCGGACAAAATGGAAATATCGGCCTGATCCTTGAAACGGTGGTCTCGCCCTGAAAAGTTTTTGTCTTCTCTAATTGAATACCGGCCTTTATTAGTTTCCCCCAATTAGGGATGGTGCCACCGAACCCTTAACTACCGGGCACTCCTTGACTATTTTGTCGGAGTCCTCGAAAGAAAAAAAAAATTGTTTGTCGAGGGTTTTCTGTTTACTTGTCGTGATTAGAGGTTGTGCCGCGTCATTTGCCTTGGTTTTCATTTGTTAGTTAACAAAGATTTAAATTTCAAAAAATAGATTTATTAAAAATATCCTATAAAATGTTCCGCATGATCATAATTGTAAAACTTCTAGCTTATGATTCTCTAGAAAACCACTGTACATCGATCAAGATTCCATGGTTCATTTTTTTTTACTTATATCATTCATTTTATGTATTTTTTCATGTTCATTTCATTATGATACTCTTCGGCTCATCGGCCCTAGTAAAAAAGGAGTATTGCCTGGGAGCGTTCTTAGACGTAGCACAGGCTTTCGACCGGGTCTGGCATCCAGCCATACTTATTAAACTTAAGCGCTTCCTATTCTCTCATTATTACCTTTTATTGAAATCATACCTAACTGATCGCTGTTTCAGAGTGAGGTGTGGCAATGAATTCTCGGAAGTCAAACAGGCCGGTGTACCGCAAGGTAGTATCCTTGGTCCTGTCCTATACATCATTTATACTGCTGACCTACCAATACATCCGGGCTGTTATCACCACCTACGCGGACGACACCGCAATCCTATCCTCTAACTCGAATCCTGTCCAAGCTACCTCCAATATCCAGGAACACCTTGAGCTTATTACCAGAAGACTGGTGTAAAAAATGGAGGACAAGACTGAACGAAGAAAAATGCACTCAGTGTACTTTTGCTGAAAAAGCAGAATTGCCCTCCATTGTACATCGAAAGCAAAGAGATACCAGTTTCCACTGAAGTCAAATACCTGGGACTATATCTCGACAGCAGACTGACGTGAAATCCGCACACAAGACTTAAAAAACGACAACTTAATAAAAGACTTGGACTACTACGAAGACTTTTAAGACCGAAATCGACAAATCGAATCTTTGACGATTAAGACAAAACCAACACTGTACAAGACTTTACTAAGACCAATATGGCCATATGGAGTGGAACTTTGGTGTACTGCCAAACCACCCAATATCCAATCGAAGGTCCTTAGACAAATTGTCCAAGCACCTGATTATGTCACCAACCTCACTATCCACAAAGACCTCAACATTCCTTTTGTCAACGACTAATCCGGTCCAGATTCCATACCTTGCATACCAACCTTTGGAACCATCCTAACCATACTGCTCCAGCCCTATTCACTCATTCCCATCCTGACAACCCACCACGTCGCCTCACCCGACGATGGCCTCGGGACCTCCTTGACCCTTAATCATACACACTGAGTGCCAGCTGACTCCTCAAAGCATGTGTTCTACCGGTGCAGTGCTGGCATTAGTGCTATTTTTATGCTGTGTGATATATTTATCATGTGTACATATTTGTATAGTATACTATCCTGTATAGATAACAAATAAATTTTTAAAAAATCTTGCAACAGATACTACTGCTGAAACTCACATTCTTCCTTTGTAGCACACCATCTCATCTAAAAATTCTACTTACCTGATCTCAAGTGAGCATATTAAGTTTGTTATTTTTCACCATACACGGCAGACTTTTAAAAATTCACCCTTTCTTTTCCTGACAATACAGAAATCTTCTTTGCAAACCTCGATCCTGTCCTAGGAGTTCGATTCCCCCAAGACCACCTTTCCTTAGAACCATGGTACCGTAAATGAATGATAAAAGCAAAAAAAAAAAAATCCGAATATATTAAAACGTAATTCGTTCTCCCTCCTTTACGTGAGTCAAATTTCACTTCCTACAGCAGATACTTGGGAAGCGGAATCCACATATTCAACATAAAATGGCAGTATTGAACTACAGTTACCATTTTTTTTTGGTCTTACTATTTCAGTATTGGCCACAAGTAGGAGTGTCAAGAAGGACCGGGCGGAGCCGACCCGGCAGCAACGGACGAACCGGCGGATAAAGCGGGCTTATCCTTTCTTAAATAATTTCAATTTATACAATTACTTTCCGTACAGTGGTCTCTACGGAGACGTGGATAAAAACCATTTACATCGAAATATTTATGGAAAAGTCCACGTCTGCTAGACCACCGGAGCTATATCAGGGCTGAATATATGCAAAACCCTGGAGGAAGCCTTATCATATCGTTTTTGTTTTTCTGTGGGTCAAACCAGGCACATCCCACACAGTCTCTGGTCTTTGAACCATCGAGGGGGGGGGGAAATAGGGGTTTGAAGGACATATAGCATAGATGTCACAGAGGAAGACCGAATTCACCGCCACCAGAGGAATTTCGGAATAATCCCTAAGTAATGTAACGAACAATTTGGTGTAGTGAACCTCATATTCCGATACAAAACTTGTCCAGATATCATTTTTATACAGGGAAAAGTTAAGTTTAGCAGTCTCTAGGTACGCCATATAACTTATACGCCATATATACTATTACTGGAACTGAACGGAACGGCTAAAAAATCGAACATTGCTAAGATCCTTCCAGTCAAAAATCTTCGGCGCTATCTCTGAAGCGTCTGTCTTTGTGAGGACTCTCCACTCAGACCTCAATTCATTTTGATACTGATCTACTCAAATCCCATACCTCAAATTCCACCCCACATTAACAGTCAACACCTTCATCCTTGATCTTTCCATTCTGACCCTCCTAGGAGGTTGAGACGTCGCTGGCTTCGCGACCAAATGCGCACATAAAGTCATTGGCTGAATAATGTCGCTGGCTCACTGTACACCCGGTCTGTCGATAGTTGGGCATCTTAAAATTTGGAACAGATTCGGGCAGCCTTTCCGACTGCTTAGTCCGGGTATCGGCCGACTAGAATCGCTTGGGTGTCCTTATACGTCTTCATGACCACAACAACCAAAATTCTGTAGCGTCCGTGGATCTTAACAGTCATTGTCAAGTTTTCCAATTTTTTTCTTTCATTCATTTGGCTGAATCTCCATGGGTTATTCGTACCATCTCCGCAAATAATTTTTGTATGAATTTTACATAATTTTTACTAAGTTGTTAACGTAATTTTAAGCAAAAGTTGACCTAACAACGTTCTCAGTTTTAATAGCACACTATTATTTATTATTTATTTTTATTTTTTTTTAGGTAAGGCTTACGATCTGACCTACATTCGGCTTCTGTTCGTTTCCCCGAGGCCAGAAAGTTTAGCCATATACAAGAGAGTCAAAGAAAACGGACCCTGGATTCCCATGCAATATTACAGGTAATGGAAACTCCAATAAATATTTTAAATAAGATTATCAATCAGGTGTTACGTTAATGTTAAGTTTTTTCAATTAATTAATATTTATGAAAGGTATTGGTTGAGATAAAAGAGTCTGCGTCATGAGCGGGATTCGAACTCACGACCTTCGAGAAGCGGCGTATTTAGCCGAAGGTCGTGGGTTCGAATCCCGCTCGTGACACTGACCTTTTTATCTCAACCAATACCTTTCATAAATATTAATTAATTGAAAAAAGTTAATTGGTCAATCCGACCACGAACTGTAATGGAGTTAATGTTAAGAACAAACCAAATATATTTAAAATTCTACGATAGAGAAGTGTCATAAATATAATTAATTTTTTAATAAAAATCTACGAATTTATAATTAATAGTTATTGATAGATGATTTGTCCAGCTTTATTGAAATATTAGTCTTTATTTAATTTTTTAACGCCTGGAGAACAGAAAAACGGCTCTAAGAATAGACTAAACCATCACGACTTATCGGCTCTGCGGAATGGTATCAAGAACCTTTTGAAGGGGGTAGCTTTTTCCTCCCTCCCGTTAATTTAATATTTGCATTTTATTTTGTATAATTAATTTAATTTAATTTAGTTTAAAGTTTTATAAATGGCAAAAGTTTTGTAAATTATAATTTTCATAGAAAATTATTGCAATAGGTAAAAACAGTTTTGTTGTTAACACAATTTTATCACATATTGCCACTAATTTAAATCCAAGTCCATGGAATTCAAAAATAAATGTATAAATGTGCATTCCTCTGTTGGCCATTCATCTCTGGTGAAGAAGAATTTCTGCATGAGGGTCGCTCTACGGTGCTCTTGAGTTTTGCATCTGGAGATCGGTGGTTAATGGTTTAGGGCTCAACTCCGCAGTCACAGAGGTCGTTGTCGATAATGCAGAACCTTTTTAGTAGTAAGTGCCATCATGGTGTATCCTTAACTTTATCCTTGAAGAACGTTTTGGTTCCACACTGGAAGAATCCCATTTCACCCGTTTCACCATAGTCCTTTCTATGGTCATGTTTTTGAGGTATGTCACTGGTACCTGTGTGAACGTGGTAACCATGTCCATCTAAGGCTGCCCTTTTAGCATATTAATCTGCCAACTCATTTCCATCGACTCCAACATGTGCTTTAACCCATTCCATTTTTATGTGCACCATAAATTATTTTCTAATTCCCAGAAAATTTTTCATAGTTTTTTTACCTCATTGTTGTGGATCTGACAGTTCTTAATAGTCTTTAGGCCTGTCAGTTTTAAGGACAACTATGTTACTGGCCTTCCACTCCAGTGTTGAACTTACTTTCGATTCATTGTAGGGCATCCCATATAGCTAAAATTTCTGCTTGATTGTTACTATACCAGTGGCTAATTTATACATTTCATTGTGGATTTCTGTTCTTAGTGCTATGCAGTGTTGGGCAAAAATTAGTCATGTCTAATGATTAATGATTGATCACTCAGACTGTTAGTCATGATTGGTAGTAATTTAGTCATCAATCACATATGGAAACTAATGACTAATTTAGTCATCAATCACATATGGCGACTAATGACTAATTTAGTCATCAATCACATATGGCAACTAATGACTAATTTAGTCATCAATCACATATGGCAACTAATGACTAATTTAGTCATCAATCACATATGGCGACTAATGACTAAATTAGTCATTAGTTGCCATATGTGATTGATGACTAAATTAGTCGTGACTAGTAATTAAATACGAGGCATGACTAATTTAGTCACAATATAGTTAGTCATGACTAAATTTCGATAAATCATGTTCAAATGGGCGCTCAAAAAATGAAAAATACACTTCATCACTTTTAAAAAATTTTCTAACAGAAATTTATTTCATCAAAACCAAAATCCTTCAACACCTTATTTAACAAAAATCAATCTTCCAATTATAAGTAAAACTCCATCATTATGAAAAGCCAAAAAATAATGATAATGATAATAATAATAATAATAATAAAACAAAATAAAATAATCCTATAACAAGCTACACTTTGAAAAGTAAATATGTTTACATAACCGATCAATGTAAAAAATAGTTCTTTGAATTAAAATGTATTCCACTTAAAAGGAGAGATTTCTACATTATTTGGAAAATACACCATCTTGATTGTAATAAAATAGACATGTAGAAAAATTATGTAACTTTGGTTTTCGTTTATGATAACAATTTTTGAAGGTTGGCCTTGAGCTCTCATCTCAAAATTTTTATCTGGAGTCGGTTGGATTTTGGTAAGTTGGTCATTGTAGCCAGAGTTGGGCGAAATCAAACTAATTCAATCATGATTAAACTTCAATCAAAATTCTTAATCATGATTTAATTAGTTAGATTTTGCCCAACTCTGGTGCTATGAAAGTGAATCCATCATCCTCTGGTCCCACCTTGCTTTCATCTGTGTAGACTTCAATCCTTCTTACGTCTTCTTCTGAGTCACTTTCAGGAATACCACCTTGAATGTCTTGAAAATAATACAGAAAATAGTTATTATTATTATTTTTTTTTAGTACACAATCGCAGTAATGATTTGCCATATTAAAGAAATTTCCAGTTATAAAAGTATGAACGTCAATAGAGTAAGTAAAAAGTGAAAATTTCACCAAGTTTCCACACGGTTAAGGTTTGAAAAGTTCCAGCTTTTCTCATCAAACTTTGATAAAAATAATTGTTATTATTATTAAATACTTTATTGTATAAAAAACGTTATTGCACAGACAGTACGTAAAATTGAAGGCTTGACTAATTTCTTCTAACTTTTTTCATCTCCTTTTGAACGTCCATAAGTTATTAATTCTTGTTATAATGATTATTTACTGGGCGTGGTGGTGGCCACAACGGTTTAGGCATTGAAACGGTGTTCATAATTGTAAGGTAAAGGTCCCGGGTTCGAATCCAGTGACATACTTACAATTTTTTTTCACCAGCACCTTGAGGGTTCACATAATCTCGTATTTGAAATACCCTCTTACAAATAAATAAACAAATCAAAATTATTATTTACATGTAATAAATATATTATTAATTATTTAAAAAAATATAGCAGGTAAAATCTGGGGGTTGACAAGAAAATATGCTCTAGATGTAAATCATGACTATGATCTTAACATGTTGTCTGGACTGATGAAGTGAAACTAAAAACAAAACAAAGAAAAAGCAAAAATACAGAACATGTATTTTTTTTAAATATTGCTGGAGCCATGAAAGCATCCACAGCTGGTATGAAGACAATATTAGTACTAATTCCCCTACACCAAATAGTACTGAGCACTGTAAAGAAAACGATTCTTAACATCAACAAAGAAGAATATCCAAAATGATTAAGACTTAAATGAATGGAGAAGAAGGAGAGAATATGCAACACTCATGGCACCTAGGGGGCACCTTAACCTCATGAACAGATGAATTTAAACTAATATTACAAAACAAACAGCACTAAAAAGGAGAAAAAATCCTTAGAGAAAGAAAACATTTTTTGTGGGTCCACCAATGTGTCCAGGACGCGAGAAGGAGTATTTGGCCCCAAAACTAAATATTCAGAGCCCTTAGTATAACCTATATCTTTCAAGCCAAAATCTGGTGAGTGGTGTACTGAATTTGAATTAAACCGAGGGTATAAAAACAAAAGACATGTCCAGGCATCAGAACATTAAACTCAAATATCACCACCTAGAAAATGGTGCTGAATTGCAAAACCAAATTGAACAGGTTAGATGCTCATAACTCACTTTGCTTGATCTCAGGACTCTCAGAGTAGAAAGGAAAAGAGAAAAAGATGTGCTTGCAAGAAAAGGGTCTGCTACACCATTTATAGGACTTGAACCATTTAGGCTAAAGAGATCCATACTATCAATGAGCTCCTTAGGAAAGACAATGGTGAAAATGAAAAAATAATGGAATTCATACATCAGACACAAACAATCCAAAAATTTCTTGGTGAGATCTGGAAAGAAAGAAACAATAAAAGGCATCATAGAAAGCAAGAAGAGACTGTGAATCCTAACTAGAACTCTTAGCAGGACACTGCAAACTGAATAGGCACATGAGAGGGATTAGTATCACCATTACAATAATTGATTTTGTTTTCTTTGTTTTTTCAGCTCAGACTGCCGTAGGATGTATGGTTTGGAGGACCGTCGTTCGATAACCACAGGAGAAGCCGAATCGACCCCACTTTGCACTTCAGAATATTCAGGCATTTCTCCGCTGACTGGGGGAAACATCGCCTTCTCAACAGCTGAAGGAAGGCAACATGCTTTCATCAACTTTGACAGAAAACCAGCACTTCATGTAAGCTATTTGAAATAGTTCAAGCCTGAAAAATAACCAGGATCAACAAATTTTATCTATCTTTTGAACAATTTATATGCTGTAAGCAGATTTCATCTGAACATATTTTGGCTTATATTATAGTATAATAATAAAAGGACGATCTACAATTTTTATTTAAAAAGGGCTAGCATTTGAATAAAAATGAAAAAAGGCTTACCTTATTTTAGCTAACTGAGAGGATTATTCATCAATGTGATTTCTATGTTTTTTAAAGGATTTTGTAACTGCCACAGACATTCGAATAACTCTAAACCGAATGAACACATTTGGTGATGAAAATTATGGAGCTGAAAATGTCCTCAGTTCATACTACTATGCCATCAGTGAGATATCTGTCGGTGCCAGGTAAATAATTACAATTTAAATTACATAAGTAATAGTTATTTTCTTTAAATTGGTTGATTAATGGTTTTGTCCAGGTGCAAGTGCAATGGCCATGCCAATCGCTGTGAATACGATTATAACCTGTACAAAAAAGTGTGCGCATGTCAGCACAACACGACAGGCGACGACTGCGAACAGTGCATGCCGTTCCATTTTGACCAACCATGGAAAAGAGCATCAGATACTGACACTTCAGCATGCCAACGTAAGTAATTTTTTGTTGTACATTTTTACACAGTTGAGGATAGTTGACTAGAAAAAAAAAACTACTTCAAGCCTGTATTTTCCAGTTCATGTTTAAACCAACGAATTTAACAAAATTATACTTACTAAAAATCAGTTTGATATTGAGAATAAAACTTTATAAATATGTTTACATTATTAACACTTTTGCAAATATTTTGACAATAGAAAGAAACAACAAAGAAAAGAACAATAGAATGTTTTGTACTTTTGGTACAATAAAACTTGGCCCGAGAGGTGTTACGTAAAAACAATATGCAACCCAAATATGCTATAAAAATGTAGCCTTTAAATTGAAAATCTTCATGAATATACATAAATATAGGGGTTACTTATTGGGTCCATCTTCAGTCGCATTGAACTACTCAAACAAGTGTCAGCATTATGCCATATTCAGTGAGGAACTGAACAGATGAACCTGTGTATGAAAACCCAGTAAGTGACACAGGGCCGGTTCAGCATGAGTTCACCGATCTGCAAACCATCACCCAACATCAACTCTATGCATAGTTAAATATAAAAGTATGAGAAATGACTTCTTATGGTCTGCAGAGCGATGAACCTGTAGTATGGTTATTTTGCAATCATCCTAGTCTGCCTGAGCTAGGTGTTTTAGACTGCAAGCTTTGATACATCTTCAGTGCAGTACAAATTTGATGATTGGAAGAAAAATTGAGTGCATTTGATTTTATTAATTTTCTTTGTACAGTAGCTCTTTAAAATAAATTGTATGGGCATTTCTTACTGTACTAAGAAAGTAAGATAATGATTTTTTAATCTTACGTTAAATAAAAATTTACTGATGCTTAAGATGATGAGATGCCATGCAAAAAAGGCAGAAAAATAATGCGTATATTTAAGGCCTTGGCACTTATCACTATGCAGCATTTAAGTCATAACAGATTACCATCTCACATGTACAAAATCAGAATGACAGAGCAGCACACATGCAATTGCGATGGCACATCTGTCACCGATGCTGATCATGTCTTTTTAGCATGTCCAACTTTTTCAGGTGAACGAGATAAATTGTGCAGTGATGGTCAAACAAAGGGTACCGTTGCCCACAAAAATGTCGATAATATTAACGATAACATCAAATTTAAAATTACTACAGGCAAATGTAAACATGGCCTATAGTACCAACCTCCCCATGTATTAAAGCATTATACTTTTAATGTGATACAAAAATCTAATACAAACATAATTAAATTATGCAGTATATTTATTAAAGTTATTGTTAATGTATCAATTTATAACTATTTTTTTGTACTGATTAATTTCTTTTATTTACTAAAAAATAGAACATTTGTGAAACTTTATGGCTACATGAACCCCTCTGTTGTAGTACGTTTATGCGCCACCACGTGGCGTACCAAAATGATCCGAATTAATTTGACCTTTTTTTTTCTATCAGGCTTCAAATATTGCCATTTTATAAACGGATTTATTACCCCTGACAATATACAATTGCCGCTAATCGGTTTAGAAAATTGTTGAAATAATAATAATCACTAATTTTTGAGTGTGTAGTGGTTAGTGACCGTTAGTCGGTGATTATTCAGAAATCGTGAGATGCGGTCTGATGTGATGTAGGTTTCAGAAAAACATTTTCTTTATCGTGCCAACGTTTCGATCTTTATTGAGATCATCTTCAGGACTCAATAAAGATCGAAACGTTGTTAGGATAAAGAAAATGTTTTTTCTGAAACATACATCACATCAGACCGCATCTCACGATTTCTGAATAATCATCGACTAATTTTTGATTAGAGACAATGCAATGATCTCTAACATTAAATTAAGATTTGGCATTTTTTTGGCAAACTTTTATTCAAAACCATGAAGATTCTCAAATCTTTGGCGTTTTCTTAAAAAAAAAATTCCCAGTTGTAGGAAATTGAGATGAAGACATTCTACCGCGTTCAAAGGGTAGTAATTCGTGTTCATTAAGTACGGAACAACAGACATTCGTTTGAGCAGCATTAGAATTAAAGAAGTTTCACTTTCTTGTTAAGTACAAAGGTATTCATTAGGCAGAGCGGATGGTACGAATTATAAACGTCTGCGCATGAAGATCAGCCTTCGTGATTCCGCCTATTCTCGCTTGTTTTCGATGATCGGTGCAACTCTTCATAAAAAGGTAAAGAAATTACGATTGTTAATATTCCTAAAGTAAGTGATGTACTTTAGGTTTTATTGAAAAAACGTTTTCAGATAACCTGAAGCGAATCCTCCAATTATTCCTTATTCGGATGGCGTTTTTCCTGTTCTAACCATCTGTTATTTCCAGAAAAGCCTCACGACCCTCCTTCCCGTCTCCTTCCCGAGAGGACGTTGTCATCATCACACGTCTCTTGATGATCCAGGGGAAAAACTGATTTTGTCATATCAATATTTATTAAAGTAGCCTAGACTTGGTCTCGATTTTTTTCATAACGTCTACCCTTTGAATATTCTCTATTCCAAAACCGCGTCTCTTATTCTTTTATTTAAATGCCAGATAAGGTTGCTTAAACCTTGGTTAATTTCTTCAAATCCTACCGATTTCTATCCTAAATACAAAACAACCTTTTTTTTTTATAAAGTTCTTTCTATGGATGAAAAATTATAACGAATCATGTCAGAACTGAAAAATCTCCATCGGTTTTCAAAAATAATATGCTTAAGATAGCTTTAAACAGAGACAATGCTTTTATTTTTCTGGTAATTCTCTGGATAAATTAGTTTAGCTTTCAGTTTACTTTTAGAAGTTTCTCTTCGTTTCCTTCCATTGATATAAATCTATTTTTTATATAGGTTACTTTAGGAATAAGAAAAGCATGCAGCATCACGATTCTCAAAATTAATCTAAATCTTAATAATTTTATTTATTTTTTTTTTTTACAATGCACATTTTGACGATATTTCATATTTGCTTTATAAAAATTTAAAAAAAATTATCTGGATCATTCGGTTTCAAAATGCAATTTGTTACTGGAAAGTTTTAATTTACGATCATCGTGAATCTTGTTTGGGCCATTATTCAAAACGGCCGTTATTCAAGTTTAAGCTAACCTGATTTAATTAAGCATTAATAATAATTGCGATTTTTTTTACGTTAACCGCGACTTGATTGACCGCTGCAGTAAAACCGTTTATTATCCTCCCCGGTGCGTGTTCAACAAATAATAAAAAAAATGAAATGCATCGATCAACGTTCTAATCCAGGCCTTTGAAATAAGCAGTAAAAAAAATCTCAGACAAGATCTGGTTGCAGTTCTGCCTTACTTGCACCTAAGGTCCATTCATATTCAACTGTACCTTTGATTTAATTGGGCCCGAAGAAAAAAAAACTCAGCTTTTCTTAAGGATAAAATAAATAAAACGAACAAACGATGAGGAGCAGATATAAAAATTCTAAGTAACATTTCATTAGTACGTTTTTTTACTCAGAGATTGTTACTAATACCGTACATTGGTTTAATTAACTTTTCCTTTAATAGGAACGAAAGGATTAATAAATATTCCATTAAGCGCCAGGGAGCGGGTCAACCAAGTCATTAGCAGTACTCATCAATCTTGAGGATTAATGAATTGCAAAAAATTAATTAATCACAGAAAGTACAAAATGCGGGCTTGTAACATGAAAGCTGTCGGATGAATCGGAGTTCTGACTTTAAAGTTTAAAGTTGGATTAAAGACAATGTATAAATCGTTTGGCTTGACAACACTAACGTCTTATCCTTCCCTTTGATTTTACTCGAGTTTGTAATAAGAAAAATTGGCTGAAAGGTGCAAAATCAACGGATTTTAGTGTACGGCTGTGGGACAACATGCATACATTGAAATCATAGAGCTTGAACCAAAAGAAAAGTAAACTTAAGATTAATAAACATAGGCAAGTAAAGAAACTATTTTAAAAATGTACATGCAAGTGAGAGTTTATTATGAGTATCTTTGGTAATCACCATGTAAAAAAATGAACCATAAAAATTTTAACTTATTTTTTTACCTTTAATATTAACTACAAGAAATGTATTAACAATAGAATAGAGGGGCGTCGGTGACCGCAACGGTTTGGGCGTTCACACGGCGCTCATCACTGTAAGGTAAAGGTCCCTGGTTCGAATCCAGCGGCCCTGCATTCCAACTCGACATACTTGCAAATGGGCTTTTTGTTAAAAAAAAAAAAACCCCGGCACCCTGATGATATGACCTCTGCAGTTGCGAACTTTCGAAAAAAAAAACCTTACCCAAAATATGTTTTTAACTTCACTAATTTCGTGGTCCGCTTGACCAATTAATACATTACAATTAATTAAGGTTTTTAGTTGAGATGAAAAAAAGTTAATGGCACGAGCGGGATTCGAACCCACGATCTTCGGCTAGATACGCCGCTGCTCTACCACTTGAGCTATCGTGTCCTCGACCCACTCGAACACCAACTTCCTGTCTCAACCCCATTGAAAAATGGCAAAAAGGAGGGAAAACTCAAAAGGTGGGGTTGAGATAGGAAGTTGATGTCCGAGTGGATCGAGGTCACGATAGCTCAAGTGGTAGAGCAGCGGCGTATCTAGCCGAAGATCGTGGGTTCGAATCCCGCTCGTGCCTTTAACTTTTTTTCATCTCAACTAAAAACCTTAAATAATTGTATGTTTTTAACCTTCTCTAATATGGGGATTATAGTTAATTTCTACATCAGTAACCATACAAAACAGTTTAACAAAGCAATAGCCGTTTTTCAGTCTAAAAAGTACATTTTAAAACTATTTTATATTAAACTGTAAATTTTTGCACAGAATAGAGCTAGTTGTAAGATTCCGAGCTTTAGAACTGCTTCAAAAATAATTTTTGAAAAGTTGTTCTTTTTCACTTTCCGGTACACCTGTCTTCTAAACATCTCTTCATATTGAAACAGTTTCTTTTTAATTTTGCAGAGCAATAATTGGCAAATAATTGTGGTGAGCCGTTATTTAAAAT